CACACACACACACACACACACACACACACACACACACTCCTCCGTTCCGATCTAGCCTCATTAGGTCCCCACCCAGCCCTTAGCCAGGAGAAGCTTGCTCCAGTTGTCCACCAGGTGGTAGCATTGATCCAACAATAATAAGTACTAAGAGCCACACACAGACTATCCCCACATCCCACTCAAGGAACTGTTCCAACAACTTGTCAAGCCATTTATTCCTCCTGTGTCGGCAGCTGGAATCCACCAGCTGCTCCCTGGAAACTCTACGGGGCAGTTCTACTCTGTCCTACAGGGTCACTACCAGTTGGAATCAACTCCAGGGCAACGGGTTGGCTTTGTTATTGGTAGCAACTCCCAGGAGGTAGTAAGTACTATTGTTATCCAGTGTGATCCGGGGCACCCAATTATTGAGGGGTAGAAGTAGGTTTTGAATCCAGAGAGCCTGGTCTCAGAGTCCTCGTGCTTAATCACCTCACTATAATGTACTCAGAGTCCCTGGGTTGTGCAAAATGTTAATGCACTCAGCTGTGATTCAAGAGATTGGTGTTCAAGTCCACCCAGAAGTGCCTCAGAAGAAAGACTTGGCAATCTACTTTTGAAAAATCAGCCATCAAAAACCGTGGTGTTTTAATATCCTCAGCAGTTCAGCTACAGCCTCCCAACCAGGTCATCCTAAGATGAGAGTTCTTCAACCTTTTCACTCTCTGCCAGTTTGGATTCACGCATGTGAATCTTGGAAAGTCTACCCATGGGTCTAAGTCTGTCCCTGGTCTTGTACTTCAGCCCCCAAATCTTCCCATGACAACCTCTAGATGCCAGTTTGAAAGTGGCTAGAAGGAAACCTGGAGAATGAAATGGAACTTTCATTCATGCAGTCCTTCAATAAATACGTAATGAGGGTCTGAGGTAGCAGGGAGCCGCTTGGTGGTGAAAATAGTTAAATGTTTTTAAGCACTGGGCTACTAACCGAAAGGTTGGTAGTTGAATCCACGAAGAGGTGCCTCAGAAGAAAGGCAAAGATCTTCCAAAAGATCACCAAACCAAACCAAACCCATGGCCATCAAGTCAATTCTGACTCATAGCAACCCTATAGGACAGAGTAGAACTGCCCTACAGGGTCTCCAAGGGGCGGCTGGTGGATTTGAACTGCCAATCTTTTAGTTAGCAGCTGAGCTCTTAACCACCGCACCACCAGGGCTCCCCAAAAGATCACAGCTATTGGAAACCCCATGGAGCATAGTTCTGCTCAGACAAATATGGTATCACCATGACATGGACTCGAGGGCAGCTGGTTTGGTATTTTGTATGAGGTACTAGACATTGGGTACAGCAGTGACTGACCCGGATGTGGAGTTTAGACAGGTTATAAAATAAATAAGCAAAATGTAAAGATATTATGTGGTGATATGTTTTCGAGAAAAATAAAGCAGGAAAGGGGAGTGGGAAAGGGGGTTCAGATAAAGAGAAGGGAAGAGAGTACAGGAAAGAGGGAGAGAGGAAGGAAAACATTTTTTTCAGCCACAGTACTTTGTACTAGGTCCTATACCTTACCTGTGTTATCTCAGTTAATCATTGCGACTCATAGCGACCCTGTAGGACGGAGGAGAACTGCCCCATAGGGTTTCCAAGGAGCGGCTGGTGGAGTCGAATTGCTGACCTTTTGGTCAGCAGCGGAATGCTTAACCACTGCCCCACCAGGGCACCACTCAGTAAGGTAGGTATTATTATTCCCGCTTTTCGGAGGAGGAAATTGATCAGAGAGGTTAAATAGACTTACCCGCAGCCACAGGGACATGCCGGGATCAGCCCTGGCTGCAGGGACGGTGTCTGTGACTCCACCCCAGACCCTCAGACTCACTCCCCACACACACCAGCCCAGGGTTGGGTGTGAGGTGGGAGTTTAAATCCATTCTTCTCAGGTGCAGATCACCCAGCACCCACAGTCCATGAGGCTCTGATGCGGTCCACACAGGGATTTCCCAGTGAGCTAAAGCCACAGAAACATGCTCGAGTAAGCCCCTAAGAACCCCTCCTGTGGGTTGATTTCTCTGGCCCAAAGCACTTTCACAAACACTTGAGTTTGGTCCTCACACATCAGGACAGTTATTATTGCCCCCCGTTGATTGGTGAGCCCTGGTGGTGCGGTGGTTAAGAGCTTGGCTGCTAACCAAAAGGCCAGCAGTTGAAATCCACCAGCCGCTCGCTCCTTGGAAACCCTATGGGGCAGTTCTCCTCTGTCCGAAAGGCCAACTGTGAGTCAGAATTGACTTGATGGCAATGGATTTAGTTTGGTTTTTTGATTTACTGATGTGGCAGTTGAGGACTGGGAGACTCAGAGGTGTGCCTCAGGGCCCAGGACTAATCACTGACAGGCCACATCCAGGCCTTTCTGCTCCCAAAATCAGAGCTCCCCTTCTCAACCCTCCCTGCTGCCTCTGAGCTACGGGATTAGAAATGTTAATTGACAGATGAGTGGCACAGGCAGGGTCACCATGGAAAGTTCAGGGCCAGGAGCGGGTCAAACTCCCTCGTTCCCTCAGTGGCCTTTGTGACAGGAAGGGGGAGGGGGAGGCCGGGAGAACTGGAGGCCCTTTATAGAGACTATTAGGCTGGCCATTTTTTTAACCTCCCAGAGTCACTCCAGTGGATCAAGGTCTTCCCAGGCAAGGAGCCCCCTAGAACCCAAAGGAAAGTGGTCCCTAACCATGGGATCAGGCTTCCCAGAAGGGATGACTCTTGAAGGGTGGGGCTGGGGCCCTGTGTGTGGCCTGCAGGCCCCCAGTTCTCACAAACCTTCCACCCTCACACCCCCAGTCCCTCCCTGGAAGGGTAGGTTTGAACTGAGCTTTAAGTGGTTTCTGTGGTTTGGGGGGTAGGGAGGAAGGGAAAGAGAAGTTGGTGAGTGGCACCAGAACCACACCCCTTCCCCGGGCTTCTGCCCCCTGCCCCCTGCATTGAGATTCCTCGCCAGATAAGGCAACTTGGACACAGCCGGGGTGAAAGCATTCTCTGATCCCTATCAGCCTCTTTCTTGCATTCGAAGGTGAGATGTATCTGAGAGGAAATATCCACTGCCCTCACTGCCCTGCTTTGAAAGGATGGATTCCTCTGGAAAAAGGGGCTGTGATTGCAGCAAGAGGGAGGAAGTTTAGACAGCAGGGGGGACTTCCCAAAAGGATGACCAAGGTAGCTTCTTGCTGTGGGGAGAAAGAACCCCAGCCATCCATGCTTAGGGCAGGGAAGAACGTGACTCCCAACCCCAGTCACTTCCTCCCCACCCCACATGGCTGGGAGAGGCAGCCATGCCCTTGTTATATGGGGTTGGCAG